CCATTTCATAATTCAATTTTTTTTTCAATCTCAAGAAAAGAAAAGGAAAATATTAATAATTATATAGCTAGAATTAAAATATATGTCAAATATATAATACTTAATACTTATACAATATATAGAATTCATAATTTCATAAAAGTATTAACTTTCATTAAAAAAAAGACATGAAGGATTAGAATTCAAAAAACAAATTCAATATATATATTAATATCTAGTACCTATTCAATATTTATAATAGTATTATACAAAAAATACAATTCTATTCAATATTTAGGAGGGTGTTATACAAAAAATATAACCCTATTCAATATTAAAGTTTAAAAGGCAAATCCAAAATATATCTAACCAAATACAAGAAGAAATTGGATCGAAATTGATTTTTATTAATTAGTAACTATAAACGAACCTTGATGTTCTTGATATTCCTGTCTTTGTACTTTTAATGGTTATGAGGGTACCTCAACCATTGGGTTTTAATTTTTAGTAGGCATTTTTGCTTTTTATTTTTATTTTTTAAAAAAATAATCTTTTTTACGATGTCATATGACATAACTCACTATGTACCACCTAATCTGATTTTTGATGCAAATGCCACAAAAGAGAAGGATTAGAGAGCTTGAGATGAAGAAGGAGAGAGCGAGAGTAGAGAAGAGGAAAAGTTGAGAGAAAGTGAAATCGATGAGAGGTTAGGGTTTGAGTATTTTATTTATTTCTACTTTTAAGATTGGGAAATTAGAAATTTAACATTAATTTTTTAGTAATTTAATAAAAATGAATAGAAAAAAGTCCGGGTCATTTTAGGTGACCCAACCCACCCGTGACCCAACTCATTTGGGTTCGGATAATTTCAGTCCAGGTTATTTCGGATTTCAGATTAACACATAAGATCCATTACCCTAGCCATAACGGATGGGTTGGGTCGAATTTTCGAATTAGGTCCAATTTTGCTCGGTCTATCCTCATCCCCTATCCTCATCTTTTTTTTATACATATATATAATATATTTCAATAGGAACTCATAAGGGTTCTCCATTGAACTCAAAGGGGGTTCAACCAATCCATTGAGCCTACAATGGGTTCTCCATGGAACTCGTTGTAAGTTCCTTAGCTAGGTTCTTTTAATAACCTAATCAATTTAGGTTCTCAAAATAACCCAGATCTAGATTCTCCAAATAATCCAATTGGGATGTGTTTATGTAATATCCCAAAATTTTGAGAATATTTAAGTGTAAGTTAGAGACTTGATTGTGAGAAAAGATTGTTTTGGGGCCTAATGTGAATATTTTAAAAGCTGAGGGACTTAAAGAGGGAAAGATTTTGGATAAGGATGACTTCTTTTCTTTTCTCCTTTTTCTTTCTTTCTTTTCTTCTTCTTCCCC